TCGGCCAATCATTCTCATCTTCGAACTCGACCGAGATATTGTTAAGACTAAACTGTGTAGAAAATTTCATCGCGATCGGACTCTCTTTTCAAAAGTTATCGTGTTAACGGCCGGACGGACGGCCGGACATACTGACCGATTCTAGAGTGTACTCACTTTTTGAGTACACAAAAACTAAAAACATAACCAATTATTCATTGATTTACTTTATTTCCATTCTGAGTCGAACAGTGAAATTTTTTTAATGAAACTCATATTTTCTATTACATCAAGACCCAAACGTTTTCGTTTTTTAAAAAATAAGAAAAAAATGATCAATCATTTATTGAATGAATTTATTTCCATTGTAACTTGAACAATGGATTTATTTTTAATGGAACTTATATTTTCTATTACATCAAGACTCGAACATTTTCATTTTTCAAAGACATGTGAATCAGTTTATCATATTAAAACAGTTTAACTTGATATGGTACAGCTATTTTTTTATTTTAATTCAATAAACCATCTAATACAAAAAATATAAGTTCATTCTGATAGAAAAAAGTTGCGATAAAACTCTGGAATAAATCGTTAATTTGAAATTTTATTCAGTTTTTAAATATTGAAAATAACGAAGACCAGCAACTTTTTAAAATGTTTCTCTATCAATCTTATATTTTCTAATTTATCCTATAACCGACACAATGATTCTTCTGCAATGCAAGTAGTTCTTCGACGTTTTGGTGATGCGGCACCTGTTTGATGTCTTTGGAGTTCATCTGCTGCGAACGATTATTTGTGTTTAAACATATCAATACATGTATATACATCATTATACGGTTTTATAGGTCTTTTTTTCATCTATTGTGACATTTTTCTAGATAATTTATAGTACACAGATTAACATTTCGGAAATGTTTGCACATAACTGGTGAAAAATTGCTATTAACACCATATATTTTACCATGATATTGAAAAAAAGCTTAATTTCTTCATCGTATAAAGATAGTTTTGTTAAAGATAAATGTTCAATTGTTTCATACAAAATGATCA